ACACTTTACACACTCTATATTACTTGATCGTGACCCTGTTATCTTGCGGGAAATCACACGATCATAGCTCTTAGATATAAAAGTTTTTCATACTTTTGTCTCGCTTATATTTACATTATAGTTATATCTCTGAAGTCATCGTCATTCTCTATGTTTTCAAATGAATTATAATTAACTACATAACATATTTTCAACTACCGTCCGTAGTTTTTTGTTTTAAACTTGTTTCTCTTGACAAGCAAGCATGACATATTGAGTCACGTAATTGCGTTTATACACTAGAATTTATCAATTGCATGTTTCGCTCCAATGTCATAGAATCAAGTCTCGACTCACGAATTTATAACAATTGTATCCAATTTTTCAACAAAAACATTAAAGAAGTTGACTAATAAATAGAAACATGAGATACAAAGAAAAATCCAACTATACTAAAAAATGGACTGAACATTGAAGTGTTCAAAAAGAAAAAACACAAAATATAAAGGAAGACTGAGATGAAGTGGTGTACTCTATTTTCTTTCACCTCTAGAGATGTTATTGTTAGTTGAAGTCACAGTTGCTAAAATTGGAATGGATGGGTTGATTCTATTGAAGGACCAACGAATTAGCTATGAGATCGGTCTGGGCTATTATATTGGGCCGATCAGAGCCCGCCAGAATCAAAGGGGTTACCATTAGGAGCTGGGTCTATGTGAACCGGTCCAATGGACTTTGAAGCAAAACTTAATTCTCTAGTAGTGTTAATTTTAACCCAGATTGTGTCTGCATCCACCAAGACTGATTGCTTTAGTTAATATTGGGAGCTAAAATTATTGTTACGCTTTGCCCCGGAGGCTCCAAACTAAATTTACGTGGTAGTCCACGTGGAGGCATAAGTCAAGATGACTAAAAGTCTACGGAGGGCCAAATCGGTCAAAGTGGCAGGGAAAAGAAGTGGAGAGGCCAAAGGAAAGTTTTCGAAGCTCTCCATTCCGAAGCTCCCTTTGACCGAAACTCTCGCGGCTCTTAAAAGATCTGTAGACAATCTTTAGAAATAATTGATATGACGTTTATAATAATGAATGTGTCAAGTCGTTAGCCTAGGTTGTAGGGTGGCTTACCCGTTGTCAATATATTAAATGCGTAGCAGACTAGTGATATGATGCTTCAAGTTTACGTGGTTCTTATTCAACAGTTACCACTTCAGTCAAACATCATTTTACTTTGTACAAATATTTTTCTTGGTTAAAAGAATAAATTTCACTCCTCCGTACCAATCAACAATTCATAATATAGCTATCATCACCAAAATTGATAAAAATAATATATAATAAGGAAGAAAAAGGAAAATTAGGGTCAAGATTCTTAAGCAAGATTTTGGACAGGCGTCAAGTAAGTGTAATGACGATTAAATTATATTATCTTTTAATAATATCAAAATATACAAAGAATATTTTTTCTAAACTCCAAATTTAATAGCAAGTGCAGACAGTGAGACTAGAATATTCGAACCAAATCCGCCAGTTGTTGCTTCATGAACGCCCGCCCGACACGCTGAAGATGACATGTGCCGTGAGAGGCTCGAGTGTTGTGTTGCTGCCTCATTTGAAATTTGACACAAGGAAAAATATCTCATAATGAATTAATTATTTTTGAATTTTAATTATAAAAGAAATAAATAAACTAGTTCTTCTTCAAATTGATTGTTTATGCTTGTTGTAACATAAATGTTAATAAGTTTTAACTTTCAAAATTAAAGGTAATTTTAAATTTCAGTTTTCTATTTTAATGTAAAATACAAAATTAAAACTCATGATTAATAAATTATAAATTATACTTAATTGAATTTATTTTCATGAACGTGGGGTTATATTTGTCCCTATAAAAGGAGTGGCGCTTTCATTGTTTGATGAGAAAAAACACGACTTGAAAGAATATCTTATATACATTCTATAATTCTATAGTTTGGCAATTCGACAAATACTCGTTCTTTTTCTTTGTGGTCGTATTCATAGAAGGAGAATTAGCTGTGAGTTATATGGGTTTTATCTTGAAGACAAGACAACATGACTTTGAGACAACATCCTTAACGTGACTTTTTAAAGCTTGCTTTCCTTACCCTCTTCTTATGTTTATATTATTGTTGAATTATATTACTTATATTTGTTTAAAATTGTTATGTTAATTTATTTACACACAAATAACCTTTTTTTTTCCAACAATTCTACTGTTTGAACTCTTTGATGAAAGTTTTAAGACAAAATTGAGAATAGTGGACAGCCAGCACAAATAATTAATAAAATTGAGTTTATGTATTAATTCTTTAGTATAATTATTATTTTAAGGTATTTTAGTATAATAACTAAATCCCATAGTTAAATTATCATTAAAAATCGAATTTTTTAATTAATTTTTACGTGGTCAAAAATTCCTAAAACTGTCCATAAAATTTCTAAGAAAATAGAAAAGTAGCCCCCCAGCAATTATTAAACAAATGAAATGAATTAAAGATACATACTTAGTAATGCAATGTCCTTTACACCTAAAATCTATAAAGCCTGTAAATCTATGTATTTAAAAAAATTAAAAAAAAAAAACTTGAAAAACGGTCGATTACAAGGTACAACAAAAAAGATAAAAAAATGCCATCAAAGTCACAGCCCAAGGTGGTGGTTGAAATATCATTGCCGCGTTCTTTGTAATCTAGTGCCAATCATTTTGAGTTCGAATCTCTTCACAATTCCAGCAATATCTCGCATGGTTGTGTCCAGAACGTATGGAATCCCATCGACCGTGACTTGCGTGGAATTCACAAACTTCCGGCATGGTTCACGCCTTTCGGAAATGGCTCCGTGATAATGGAAGTACTTTATACGTCCCTCTGTCTTGTGTGTGGTCTTGCCTATTACGTTTTGCGACATGTGCACCCCAGTTGCAAACACATTCCGTGGTTGCACCGCGTATTTCCTGTCCCTCCTAACACCTCTCTTTATGTCCTTGTATACCAGCTTCTCGAATCCCCATTTCCTGCAAAAGGACACACGTTTATGGTCAATTTGCCGTTTAACATTCACCTAATGATATATATGCATCAAGTATCGAAGCCAAACCAAGTTCGACTTTTCCAAGTTACTTATATATCTAGATCTCAACATTACTCAAGGCTAAACGAATCTGGACATCGACAATTAGATATCTTGAATCTTAAAGTCAATGTACCCCAACCATAGCTTTGCTTCGCTTTATAGAAGAGAGTGACCATTTCAGAGCATAGCCCTTCGTGCATTCACGAGAACTACAACAGCTAGAAAATGGTGAGATCATTAGTGAAAGTAGGACCAACAACTATTAAGGAAGATGAGGAGTACGAGCTAGCCTTCGTAGAGGCTTCAAATGATTAGATTGGGTCCTTTTACTGCGTCTAGGTAAATACAATATTTTTCATGACAATATCTTCGTATCAAAATCTTTCTTGCCGATATCAATGGCTACAATCAAATTCAGAAGGATGATATCCAAGCACCATCACAGTCTAAAGTAAAATTTGAATTCCACAAATAAAACAGTTGTTAAATTTATGACAATCAATTGAACAATTTAAGGAACATGGTACAAATCATGAATGCAAGACTGGTTCTAACCCCCCACCTAACTTCCACTTGGATAGCCCATATGAAATGAAGAGAGGAGAAGACGAATTAAAACAAAACAAGGGTCAGATTTGTTAATAAATCCAATCAGGTATACGCCACTTGAAGAAACAGCTGGACACCACACAAGACAAGGCGAATAATGTACTTGTGTGAAATCCAGTTACCGCAAATGCAAATTACCCGATTGAACATGTAAATTCAATAAGCTGTTTTAATCAGTTAATTTGTTGTAATTAGTTAGGATTCAACTCCAGAATCTAGAACAATTATGTATATTTTCCTTGTATGTAATCCCTCTTCATTCTCTTCCAAATTCTTTATGAACAAACAAGAACACAATCGATCGTTCCCTAATTAACTTCAGACACTAAAACAATATTTATAATATCAAGGGATTGTGTGGAAAATGAATTCTACGAGTATTCCGCAATGATTCTGGATCAATTATTTGTTTTTTTAATGCTTTAGTTAGTGCCACCATAATCTATGCATCGAAAAGTTGGGGCTAATGAGAGAAGAGGGAAATTGGGGTCACCTGAAAGCTGTACGGGCATCCTGGGAAAGGCAGAGCTTATTGGACATGGGCATTTGCTCAATCGTGAATTGCGTATAATCCAAGAGTGAATCAAATACAGACTGAATGGTGCTCTTCTTAGGCATGAAAATGAATTCATCGACATCAAAGAACAGCATCCATTTGGCTACAAATCTGTATCTATGCAAGCAATCATTCACTATGAGGAACTGATTGTGATAGTACCCGTCAAATCTCTCTTGCTCCCTAATATCTTGCAGTGTCACGAACCCCTTCTCCATCCATGGTTTTAGCACTTCCATTACTCCATCGTGTACACCACCGGCGTCATGTATCACAAAATGGGACTTGCTTCCTAGGAGTTTAATGTGATAAGCCAGCCACTCTCGTACTCTCTGAGGACTCAAGTTCCCGAACAGAGATGACCCACAATACAGATAATCGTACTTGGGTTGCGAGTTGAATTGTGATGTGAAATTCGCGAATTCTTCGGCAGTTTCGTTCAGCACCACAATAGTGTCGGTGGTGTTGAAGCTACCGTCACCACCGCCGTTGGTGGTGGCGTGGAGGAGCAGCTTCCCACCTTTACCGTTGCTCCCGGTGGGGGCCAGGAAAGTGCAGTTCACGACAACGACGGTGTAGACGCGGCCATAGCCCCAGTCAGTGAGGATCTTCTGGCCGACGGAAGTGACGTTAGAATTTGGATCTTCATCGGGGATCCACTGGCATTGGTAGCTTGGGTTTCCGAAGACGTGTAAGGGCTTGGAAGATAACCCCATGACGGCGAACGTGTCGACGCCACCTCTGTAAGCTGACATCAGAATGAAATTGTAAGCAGCTGAGCCGTAGGGATTGAAAGCTCTCTTTATGATGCCATTTTCCAACAACTGGTCTTTCTTCTGCTCCTGCTTCTGCAGAAGTTGAACGGGTGGTGGATCTGGTACCACCGACAATGTTGTGATGTTACCTGATAGATCGGCGGGAGTACCGGAGAGGCAGTGGCGGATGTCGGAAGGGAAGACGGAGAAGCGGGAGGAGAGAAACTGGAAGATGGTGGCGAGAGAGCATAGGAGGAGGAGGGCGGTGAGGAGGAGCTTGAACTCCGCCGCACAGTTCCACACAATTCCAACCAACATTTTCCTATCTCTGTCTTTCTCCGGTGGACTATTCATCACCATTTCTTTCAATCGGTGGTGGTCGGCCGGCGAGTATTTTTTAGCTTTCTCTCCACCTATGAAGAATCAACCAGTGTGCTTTTTAGCCTACAGGAGTCTGACTAGAAGACGAAGTGAGTAATATAAATCATTTGAACGGTGTGATTAAAAATTTAACAACAAATGTGATGTGTTCTGTTAATTAATTTCTTAATGTTATCAGTTATGTGAGTCTATATCACAATAATAATATAATATTTTGGATTAATTTCATTTTTGGTCATTGAACGTTTAGTAAAATATCAAATTAGTCACCCAACTCCAATTGGCAAAACTTTTATTATTTTATAGGATGTGCGCTTTGCGAAATGGGTGAACATTAAGCACATAGTAATAGGTAAATATTGTGAATCATACAAAATTAAAGCTTGATCAACTTATAAGTAATTATGAATACTGCCTAAAATTAACGTTCAATTATATGTAGACTATAAATTGATTGGTATCTGACGTTTCTTACATTTTTAGTAATTAAGAATTTTGAAAGAACGAGAGATAAACGCAAGCTTATTATGATTTGAGGCAAATAACAATTTATTTTGTCACAACTTGAGTAGGGGAAATGATTATATAGAAATGCCTTGAAATGACCTTTCGATACAATTAAATAGAAAGCCCAACTAACGTCATAAAGCACGTCAATCTGTTATCAAATTTTGACGTCAATGTAGATTGAACATGCTAATCTTAGTAATAGGAGCTAATGGAGTGAGTAAAAATGAAAGTAAATTGAAGTTCAATAAGTTAATTGACAGAAATTATAGTTACATGATCTATTGAAATTTCAGAGAAAGTTGAGTGACCAAAAAATGAAATTAATCCTTATGTAGAATATTGAAGTAGAAGTGGCAGAATAATTTCCCTGTGAAGCAACAATTTTTAATAAAAGTACAGGAATAGAAAAAAAAAAAGCCTTTGCTTTTACTTGGGAAAGGGGATGTCTGGTGTGGTGTCCTTCAGCTATTTAATTATTTTCTTCTGTCTTTTTTGTTGCCTTTTTGTTTATTCATATTCTCCACTCTCATTTCTCACCCTAAACTTTTTTTTTTTTTTTTGGTCTTTTAAATTAAATACTTAAATTATATATATATAGGGCATGTTTGGTACGATTTTAATTTTCTACAATAAATCAATTCTCATTTTCAACCACACATTCTTCAATAAAATAATATTTTCCATCACATCAATAATTTTTTCTTCTTTTTCAACCACACATTTCCAATCATATCACTAGTCAAAAGCCATTCTTCCTCCAAATCACTATTCAAAATCCATTCTTCCTCCAAAAAATCCCTACCAAACAAACTCATAGTACTCAGTTTAATTCACTTAAAAGTTGAATTCTCAAATTATAGCAACAATTTATGAAGTGTGTATTATTTTAGCACGATTCATCTCTCGTTTTTTTCATTTTTAAACACTTTCGAATGAGTAGTGACGGTAGATTTTCAAGTAATACTATGGTAAGAAGTACAAGATAAGTTTTTATTTAAATATGATTTTGTTTCTAACCTGCTACATTCAATCATTCTATTAAATGAATACTATAATTATTATTTTATTTAGAAATATAACTTTAGTTGATTGATGCTTACGCAATTGAATAAATTAATAAAATACAATTACTATTTAAGTAGTTAGTGTAAAATTTATGTGATTTGAACATTGAAATGCAAAATTAAACCCAAAAAACATTATCATCTTCTTCTTTTTCTGCTGAACTCACCCGACACGATCGTACGAGGTTTCAATTCACCCAACACGAACATCCGAGGTGAACAAGAATTGGGGATCGAATGTAGGCAAAATCTCCGCCAACGGCTAAGGTGTTCAGTTAACTCACTTCGCCTTTGTGGGGTCTAAACCCCTATGAGTGAGCAAAAAAGGTCTCAAGGTTCAACATAAGAGAACTAATCCTCACTCGACTTATAGACAAGACACCGAAGGTTGGCTATTCATGACCACAAGACGATCTCATTTCCATTTGGAATACAAATTTTAGTATTTGATGCGGAACAACTAGAAGAGAAAATCATAAATCAGTTGGAAAATATAAGAAATGAGAAGGATATACGAAAAATGTCGTAACTTCTATCTCAAGTGTCAAATTTACGTGAGCGAGACAATTCGAAAGCGTTTTTCAATTCCTATCGTTTTGTTGGAACATTGTCAAACTTTCGGAGTCAACTAGTGGTGGCAAAAAAGCTTGCTGGTTCGAACGGCTCGGGCTAGGCTCGGAAAAAGCCCGAGTCATGCCCGACTCGGTGGAACAGAGCCTAGGCTCAAGCCGAGCCCCATTTTGGGGGGTCGGCTCTTGATTAATTAAAAAAAATTAAAAATAATAATAATAAATTTTAAAGCTAAAATAGCTGAAAAAAATAAAAATAAAAAATCAAGCCGGCTCGGTTCAACCCGCTAAGGCTCGGGCCGAGCCTTTTTTTTTTTTGGCCGGGCTCAGTTTGGGCCCGAAAAAAGCTCGGCCAAAAAAGTTCGAGCTTTTTTTTTCTGGCTCGGGTCGTTGCTGCCATTGTTTAGATCAATTTTACCATTTTTTTCCTATTTTGAGTCAGTTTAAGGGTGTGTTCGTTATTTTTTTGCAGTTTTTGACTTTTAAAATGTGTTAAGGATTTGAAAATCATATAGCCGATTTTGTTAATAATAGTTTAATTTTTTCATTGTCTGATTAATTTTAGTATTTTTCATGTTCACGAAATTCGAACAATATCCTTTCCGTTCGTATGTTACGAACAATATTGTTTTATTATTGTTTACATTTTGGTTGTGCATACATATCATAGAAGTAAAACTATCTAGATTTTAAGGTAGAAGATTTCTAATGCGACTGGTTGTTAGGAGTAGCGGTGGATATTCATCATTATTTATTTATTTGTATAAATGAAATGATTGAGCAAATTTTCAGTTTGTATAAGTTCAAAAATATTTATTTTTATTGTATAAAGGTGACGCGTGGACAAATTATTGACACCAATAAGACGCGTGTCCTGGCTGGCGCCACCATATCTTTTAGGCTGTTGCAGACACAGATTGACGGTAGAGACGGCGCCACCATTTTCAAGCTCACCCAGTCGACAAAAAATAATATATGGGAAGAAAATGCTTCGAATACCCATAGGGTGACTACTTTGGATGATCAATTAATGCCCTGACACGTAAGAGAAGGCTCCTTGGCTATGAGAACGAGATCACGAGTCTTTTTATCCATCAATAATCATCACACCTCTTCTACTATAAAAACTTACAATTTGAATGTAATGCAATTTTATACACTCAAGTAATATTGTTATCTCATATTGGTTTTCTGTAAATACTCGGTTCTCGAACACTATCGTGGGTCACGTTTTTCGCACGTCCCTACTCGTACCGTCTTTCCCATCTCCGAACAAGGTCATGTTCTTCTGAGGATTTGTTGAAATGTGTAGGATTCATACATGTGGTGCATGAATGGAGTTGAGATCTGCTAGCCACGTAACCATGCAGAAATTGATGTCCACAATTTTCGCCTTTTTCTTTTACGAGGTAAATAATGTAATCTTCTATAATTTTCATAATTAAAAATATTGAATTTTGTTATAGTAATTTAAACGTCGACTATTCCCTATCCTTTTTTCCCTCTCATATTCAGTTTGTAGCTAATAAAATAAAAGGGATGGCAAAATACTTGGAGACATATCTTTCCTAGTTTCACCACGCTCCATTAATATTCCTAAAATAAATTCATACAAGAAACATTATGTGGCAGACACTTTTAGCTTCGAATAATGTTCCTTATACAATGTTGTATTGTAACATTGGGTTACAACCTATCACAAATGAGGTGGGGGCCCACTATTATTTTAATCGCGGGGTCCACCTCTCTTGTGAGATGTTGTAACCCATGTATTGTACATGTAGCATTGTTCTTTATCTTCATAGTTATCAAGATTTTGAGAAAGTTATAGACGTTTCCCATATTATTATAATTTTCACGATATCTTTCAAGTAGTGATTTTGAGAACGATTAAGGAACGAAGTAAACAATTTTTCACTCAACATCTATTTACAAGGATCAAGACGCATAAAATGTAGTCATTTTTATACTTCCCCTCCTTTCTGTTTCTCTTTTATTGCATTGCTTGTTTGGAAAGTGTTTATGAACAGTTCAAATTATAATTTAATATAAATGAATGAGCACTTGTGAATATTTCGAAATATAAATTTTGAATTTATCAATCATTTATTAACCTGAGTCAAACATAGACTTAATTGAATAATATTAATATTAACACCCCGCTTGGCCCTCATTATTTTTCATTAAATTATAATTAATTTTTCTCTCACTTCTTATCAATCACACATTTTTCAATTAAATAATATTACGCGTAAATTCAAAAAGTTTTCTTTCTTTTTCGACCAAACATTTTTTAAAAAATTATTATTCCTCTGATTATAGTGTGAAATAATGGATAACAAACGGGCGCTAATATTAATTAGACAACACGTTGGAGAAGAAACTAGGGAGTCCCTAATTTCCTATCGTGAGCTCGTTACAGTGGGTCCCATTCACATGCCGACCACGTTCAATATTTAGGTTCCTAATAGTCAAAATCATGAGACCGTTGACGTAACATTAGGTGTGAAAATAATAAAAATCAATTTGGCGGTCCAGTTGCTCCTGCTTTATTCTTTTGGTTTCACCAACACGGTCTAGAAAAGGCCGGACCGGATATGAATTTTAGTTATTTCTTTTTTATTACGATTATCAAAATCTATCCATCGGATAAGCATGTGACATCAAGTTAGAGAAAATGAGACGCTGATCTAGAAAACATGAAAGTCAAACAAATTGGTGGTTTGCGACTTCGTGTGTCATGATGTACCTGAACATTAAGTCCCATTGTCATTATTTTTAAACTATTTTTTTTTAAATGTTCATTTCAATCAACATTCACGCGGTAACATATTTTACACATAAATTATAAAAAAATTTTTACTTTTTAACAATATGTTCTCCTAAAAACTAATATTCGAAACTCAATTTTCTTCAAATACTTGTTGTCAAATAGGGGCTAAGGACACGGAACTGAATTGGAAGAAGAAGCAATAATATCAAAAAAATTAAAAATAAAAATTGAAAGTGAAATAAACAAATTAATAGATCATTTCCAGGGGGAAGTTCATTAAATCCATGTTTGGTGAGAATTAAAATCAGATTGTTAGTAAATTTTGATAAAATTAATGAAATTAAAATTTTGTGGATCTTATAAAATATGTTATTAAGATTAATTATTAAATTTGACATAAATTAAAATTTTGATTTTAATCCTTATCAAACACGATAAACGATTGGAGCAATTCACATGCATATTCTGAATTTGGAGACATGAAGATGCATGGCAAGTTGTATCACATAAAGAAAAGCACCAAGTGGCACGCAAGTTATTCCGTTAAGTGTCATTATTTGTCGTTCCACGAATTTAGACAAGCCTACGAGGTTATTTAAATGATAAGAAATAATTATGATACATGTACATCATAGTTGACAATAAGTTTGACACTTTTTATATGACAGCAATCTACATTATTGATTTTAAGAATAATGCTTTGTGTACAATCCATGGTTGACAACGAATTTGACAATCTATGTTAATTCAAATTCGAATGGACGGGAAAGTGTGTGGTGTTTAAAAACTGACCACTTAACCTTCAACACGTGACACATTGTCAAACTTGATGTCAAAAAAATTGCACTTGTTGCATGGTTGTTGATTTTAAACGCACTCATACCATCATTGTCCTGATTCCTTCCATCTAGGGGATGTCATACAACTAAAGATATACATCTAGCTTAATTCGAGTCGATGACATTATGAGGACAAAAAATATGGTCCCTAGACTCCCTATCGCGACTTGATTATTTTTATAAAAAAATATTTTTAAAATCTCTATAAAATTATATAAATATTTAATAAATAAAAATAGATTTTAATTGGAAAACGAGGTGGAGAATAAGATCCTAGCAAGGATTGGAGGGGGACGAGGCATTAAAATCTCCTACTCGTCTCGCCTTATTATCATCTCTAAATAAGAGTATCACATACTTCATGTTCAAATCTCATAGAAATACGTACTAGGGAGTGTATCTCCTCCACCTTACCTTCAAAATTCTCAATTTTGTATTCTAGGCTCCAATATTACTTTAATTTGTTATTTGTTATTAATAAAATAATTTTATTTTATTTGTTTTGGAATTAATTTCTGTTTGGTTATCATTATGAACCACAAAAAAATAAAAAATAAAATAAAATTTTCTTGGTTATATGGGACATTGCGAATTAACCTCATAAATGGTTTGTGTGTGGAAGAGAAAATACTTACAGTGCAACTTAAAATAATAATCTATGATCAAATATTATTCTAAAAGGTCGTGAGCATTGAATGTACTAATTTTTGCATTGTTATTAAACTCGGCCCGGATATTGACCCGATCAAGGTAATGGTCGGACCAGTGAACCAGTGGTCGAACATGTGGGTCATTACTTAAAAATTATTTAAATAAATTTAAAGTGTATGTGTGCGCATGTGTGTTGCTTGAGACAATTAAAATTTTCAATTTATTTGTCACTAATTATTTTTTATACCTTTAAATTAATAAATTTTTAAAATTCATTTATTAGTGATAATTGTTACATCTTGATTTTGTAAATTTGTATATTATATTTTCCCTTTTTGTGATGTACAAATCATTTATTAATTATTGATCAATAATTTACGTGTATTATTTATTCAATTTATTTTAGTTAAAATTAAAATTTTCAAAAAAAAAAAAGTATATAACATAATTATTTGATATTACAAAATGAATGAAAATATTGGACTAATTTTATTAAAAATATTTTCAGAAGATAGCAAATAATTCATATATAAAATATAGTTTATTACACGGAAGGAAAACAAAATGTTGCTTACTTTGGTGGTAATATTATATTCTAGTTAGCTAAATGTCAAGTATAAAATTTTACTAGAGAAAAGTTTTGAAATTGATTAAAAAATCAATCGAGCCGAACTCGCCCCGATAATTATATAAAACCTGCTAGTTGACCCGGTCAAATCTGATTTGTGACCGGCCACCTGCGTTTATATGTGAGTTTGCCTGGCCTAGGGTCCAGGTCACCGGTTTATCGATCCTATTGGTCGGGCAGCGTCGATTTTAATAACACTAAAATTTTGACTAAATTAAAGAAAATGATCTATTTGAATCTTGAATGAACAACAAATCGTACTCATTATTGTAAATGAGCTGTTCGAAGCATCAATCAATGAGACAAATTGACATCAAATCTTGCTACTTTTGAAGCTCATATTATGAATATTGGGAATATATATTTATAATATGGAACCAATAAACCTTTTTTTTATTCCTTGAATTAGGCTTATCTTCAAACGCAAAAATGCACAAACCAATCTTTCTCATTAGAATGTGCTCTATCACCACTTTTCACACATGATAGGTTCAATTATGTGAATCCCGTGACATTATATTTAAGTGAATTTATCATTTGATATCATGTAATTGCCATCTAAATTGATTCTTGACATCAGTAGGGTTGAAATGCAGTATTCTTCCCATTAACGTCTCAAAAAATTCACACTACTATGTAATTAACAACTGTCACTGTGGGCCCATTAGAATGATTGATAGTCTTGAAATAATGGTGGGGAATAATGATTCACAAGAAATGATGCCCATATTGCAATAATCAAATTCATACTTAGTTTCTTCCTACCCCACGTCCCTTTATTCAAAGCCCTTTCTTAATAATTACTACTATTATATATCTCATTGTCCCCTTCTCCTAAACTTGAATTCATCCAAAAGGTCTGTTACACATTCAACTAACTAACAACTTTTGCCTTTTAATAAACAACAATGCTACATGTCCAATACATGTGTTACAACATTGGATTACAACCTCTCACAAGAGATGTGGGCCCCGCGAATAAAATAATAGTGGCTCCACCTCCTTTGTGAGAGGTTGTAACCCAATGTTGTAAACCAACATTGTACAAGGAGCATTATTCTTTAATAAAATATACACTGGGGGTGGCTTATTCAAACAAAATTTAAAAAATGCACGTGATTTTAGGGGGGAGTTGCTTTGGTATTCTGGGCTGGGATGCCATTATCTGTGTGTTGTAAAGAGGGGTTGAGACGGAGGAGAGAACATGCTTATTCAGTGAATAACGCAATCTGTTCTCTTCTTGCTGCTATGCTTCCGGTCTGTGCCTCGGCTAATGATAGATATCTGTCTTGGACTTGATCACAAGTGATTGAATTAGCAGTTAGTTCTAGTTGTAGTTGTACTGATAGGTGAAGGCAATGGTTGTGGTGGCCAAGAACATATTTCTCAGAGTTCGTTATATGTCAGGGAATTGAGTCTAACTGAGGAGACTTGTGGAGGGCCGAGGGAAGTTGTACCTTGGAGGGTGAATCTGCTAATAAACGCATGCACAGATCGTCCCATCTTGTGATGGACTAGCATGTTTGGCTAAAGCCTTCGAAAAAAGTTCAAATGCTTCAAAAGAAAAGTAAAAAACCGCGTTAACATATGAATGCTTTCATAGTCGAATAATAAAGTTACTACTACATCCATTCTTTCTAATATATAATGAAGAGGCAAAGGAGGTGAATTAGCTGCATTGATGTGGTCCAAAAATGGTTATAGATCATATATTTAGTAACAAACTGGACAAATGATTTAACAAATTACAGCAACCAAAACAACATAAAACTAAAAGGGAAACAAATCTAAGGAAGAAAAAATAAAACTCTATAACATTATCGTAAATCAAGTTATCTTTCGTCAGATTTATATTCAAGGTTAGTTCTGCATGAAAACAATTGGATCATCTGTATTTCAAGAATGAGCACGTAAGCGCACGACGTCCAGTATTTGAGCTCCACACATTGGACATTTTCCGCTACGCCCCTGCAACTCAAGAGCACACTTGAAACAGGTGCACATATGCCCACATCTGTAATCACATAAAATACATGCTTTAATCAGTACTACTGAATCCTTGCTACTATTGGAGTATGCTTCAAATGATTATAATTTCATGGAAATTTTACACCTGTGAGGTACCTGTACAAAACAGAATCAACTTGCATTTCGCAGCAAATTCCACATCTTCCTTTGCTTAGGCCTTTATTCCTTGAATCATTTCTTTCCTTTTGATCTGCATTTCATCAACTCTAAGTTCATTTTCCAGTTTGTAAAAGAGCTGAATATGTATCATGTAGATCTTTTAAATCATTAAATCTTTTGGCATTCATCTGAACCAACAAGGTATTGATTCAGGTGCATCTCAAGAATCCCATAAAAATTGATGAAGACAAGGAAAAACCAAGAAATTAGGATCACTGAACCAATACTTTGTGCAAGGAAAAAAAAAAGGTTCTACCTGTTTTCTTCTACTTTTATTATTCGTGTCCACAATTAAATGTGATGTTGATTTTCTTTTGCAATCAAACGAGCAGTTAAGTCTGAGCCAAATTCTATATTAAATCTTTTACAAATATAGTTAGAAAGGTTCTAGACAGAGTATTTAATGGAACTTTTCTCACCAAATTAAGTTTTCTTAATAAATGAATGAAATAACAAAAAATCAACGCATTGCCAAACTATTTACTTGACTCCAAAATCAAATGAGTCCATCCAATAGTGTGCCACAAAAATGCCAAAAGCCTAAATTTCTATCCTCTACAACCACATGCATACGCCATGCAGACAGGATAAACTCACGAGATAGAAATGCAGAATTTAGGGGTTCAAACCAATAATCAGGATCGTGAAAGACTTTCTATGTAAAAGGCATGCAAGCACCCATAATTTCAAAAATCACCTGAGGGACTTGTAGCTGCAGCAGCCTCCTGCTTGATGGAATGTTGTAATTTAACCTGCATATTGATGCAGCTCTTTATTGATCTTCGTAGTTCAGACATCTCTCGGTGGAGTTGCCCCATTTGTCCTCTCAAGTCATATATGAGATCCATTCCCTGTAAGCCAAAATATTTATATTTGATCTCAACTAATAAGGGAAATCCAAAACATCAATGCAAGAAGATCAAACAACTGACATACGATTGTATGATGGTTAGTAAAGGAAGAGAGAGGCCGATTATCCTGGGAGTACGTATTTGATGATAGAGATGGTTGCACAGATGGAGATGCAGCCTGACAAGAATCATCACTAACTTCATGACCTTCATTATGGAGCCATGATGGTGGTGCTGAAGAGGGAGATTGATCTATGCAATCATTGTATTGTTGCCCAATTTCGCTCTCACCTTCATATTCATTGTAATAGTCACTATAAGATCTTTCTTCGTCTTGCTCATCCTCTTCCTCTTCTAATGAAACCGCATCCTCGTCTTCACCTTCATCTTTATCTTCATCCTCAATCACTTGTTCTTCTCCTATTTCTTCCATCAGATTGTTCATCACATTCGGTAGTTGCTGCTGAGTGCGAGACATCATCAATTGTTCAATGCGCTCTCTCAGACCACTTGAAAGAAAAGTTGAAACACTTCTTCTGCACATTATGATTATAGAATCAAATTGCCGTATAAGACCATAAGCAGGGTATCCGTTTTGAGAAATGGCTGTTTAAATATAAATCTAAAAATTATAAAATTAAGTCAGTGTACACAACCATAAGCAGGGCATCCATTTCCAGAAATGGCTGTTTAATTGTCTGTTTAATTATAAACCTAAAAAGTGCATGGAACAATTAAGTTTTTAAATTGATTTAAAATTTTATTAGTTTCATATACATGTAAAACCCGTTTGTCAACTCATTTTTAACCACACATTCTTACAATAAAATATTTTGCGTGTAAACCAAAAACTTTTCCCTACTTTTTAATCACACATTCTTAAAAAGAATCTCTATTCCAAAACTCATTTTCCCCTAAAACTCTTTTTGATGGGCATCAAACAGGGGCATAGTAATTTTTTATGTACCTAAGTATATTTGTGTATTTTTCTTCACTCAATAAGTAAATAGTCCGAAGCATATTCAACCATTAAAATTTTAATCACAAAAACTAAGAAACTGATCCAAGATCAATGTTATAAATAAGGTTATGACTTATGTCAATGGCAGTGACTGCCATACTACACTATAAAAGGTACTTGCTCAGATATTTTTCCATGACAGATATCATCCTGTTGTGAACGCTTAAATAGACTTCACATCCTTCGAAACTGTCAACTCTATCCTTTAGTTCATAAAGGAAATATGAACTGTCTGTTGTTTAGATCTAAAATGTACTTTGATATTTTATTTTAAAAATAGCATCAGATATCATTCTTGGATGATGACGAAGGTATTTATTTAAAAGTGACATTAACTGTTGTCGGAGTAATGACTAGAAAATATAGGTATAATAGCCAGTATACCTTTCAAGAAGCACATGTATGTCTTTATTCCCCAAGAAAGGATCGAGCATCTCACAGTATCTTGCTTGCCTGAGATCTTCCCAATCACTACGTGGGCGTGATATATCACTTACCCAGTTGGAATTAATTTCTGCTTGTTGCTGATAATCAGAATGTAGTTCTTCCCATCCATCCTCTGGATGAGAAACTCTTACCCAGTGGGAATCAATTCCCATTATAAGCTTGTTTTCACAGTGACTGTATGGATGAGCACAATCATCAATCAAGTCACGATTGGTTCTGAAAAGTTGTCGTTTAGAAGTCACTTCTTGTTCCTCTGCATGCTTATTTTTGTTAACATCAATAAGGGATTCTGCTGTCTCAGTAGATTCAGCCAAGCCATGATTGTTGGTTTCACAGTCTGTCCCTTGCCACATAAAATCTGATAACGGACTTGCTTCTTGATGGAGATGTTCGAAGACATGTGCTTGGAGACTGCTTTGTTGAATATTTTCGTTAACTCCATGGGAAATGAGTTCAACTTCATGCTCTTTAGATGTTGAAGAGGTTTCTTCATCTAGGATGTAATCTGCTGTTACTTTATGTGAAATTATGGAGCCATTTGTTTCTTGATATGTTGAAGAGGTTTCCGCATCTAGGACGTGATCTGCTATTGTTTCTTGTTGCAGATTTTGTTTAGCTGGTTGATTCAACATATTTTCTGCTGATGCAGCATTATCTACGACCTCTCTGTGAGAGTTCTTTGAGTCAATTGCACCATTTTGAACACCTGATTTGAATCGTTCCCTGTAAATAGTAAAGAGATGTAGATCATAATTCATATGGTCGAGGTAAATGTGACATATTCATGATGTTTCAAAAATATGGACACGTCATACTTAAGAATTCTCAATTAGGAAACAGACAATGAAGACTGCCTGAAATCCGTTTTAAATGATATACTTGTGTTGAAAAATGAAATTGGACTGTAACACAATGGAATACTAATTTCGAAGAGTTATGAATATAACTAAGGGATAGTGAAGAAAAGCTGCTACAGTTCTTCAGATTAATTCCTTTCATGAGAAATGCTTGAGCAAAATGAAGCCTATCTTTGATGATCTCCTTTTAAACAGATAGTAGTGGCACACAATGTTGAATGCTCTCTCTCTAGTAGCTGACAAATTTAGATATCCCATAGCTCAATTCAAAATGTCAATGTATAAGAAATTCATAGAACTTGAGAAATGTTCTATAAATGACAAACTGATATATTGCGAAAGATGACAGCACTAACTATTCATTCAACTCTTTCCTAAATTGGAAAAGGAGTAAATTTATGTCTCACTAATGCTATGTGAATGTCACTATTCACTAGACAATGTTACATACTTTCACGTTTTAGAAAATGATCGTCAAGTAACCATTGCAAATTAACGTGACAATATGTGAAGGGAAAGAACCACACAGCGGGCTTCCATAAGCAAAAATCTTTTAAGGATCTAACCTGATATGTGCAATGGCAGATTGTGTAAATTTTTTTAATTCAAATGATGTGCTGTTTACATGTCGACCCTCTCTGGCTTCAAGTCCACGGCGAAGAAATCTAACCCGGAGCAGAGCCTATTCACAAAGCATGGTATGGTCAGAAAATAGATACTATTAAACAAGCAATGACTGAGGAGCTGTTTTGGAGTTTAATAATACCTGAATGCGGCCTCGCTGTGAGAACTTGGAAACAGCTTTACGTGCTTCAAGTCGTTCAAGCTCCTTGTGTCTCTCGCTCTCCATTTGCACAAGCAAATTGTTAAATGCGCCACGCCCCCTGATGCGCGGCGAACAAAAAACAGAGGAAAAACAACTCTGTTCTGATTGATCCAATGACGTTCTAACAAGAGGTGACGATTCATAGCCAACATTATGCTCCCTGTCATTATTATCTTTAGTACTAGACGTCAGCTTTCTAATGATATCCACGACCCTGAGCCTCTCCCTCTCCGTGCCCTCAGAATCTCTTCCCACTGAAGAAGGCGGACCACTCAATGCCATTCTATCTGATTCCCAATCCCCAAATGTTTCCTCATTAGTGACAGGTTCACAAACATCGGAATGTCGCGAAGGGACATCGATGCATGAAGCATTCTCTGCAAACGTGGTGCTCGAATTGCTCCTGGTGCTACAAAGGGGTGAATTACTCTGCGAGCACTTGGCCTCCGCCTCAAAATCTCTCCATTTCTGAACCAGGGAAGAGACACCACGCAAATTAGGAATCTCAATAGAAGTTTCAGATTGCGTTGGAGAATTCTCCCGTTTAAATACCGAACAAGAACCTGAAGATAGACGACCCTGGCTCTTTCTATCACCAGCAAATACCATTTCTCGAGCTCTTGCCCATTTATCTTCGTCACTGGCCTTAATCTTCCCACTATCATTTTCATTGTTCTTATTATTATCATCATTACTGTTTCTGATAATAACATTATTATAAGGAGAAGCAGTGACGCTGGAGGGGGCGGTTTGCCATTGGGGTTGATGAACCCATAAATCGGTATAATCAATATGATGACGAGGGTGCGAATTCTCATCAGAAATACAGGAACTAACCAGGTCATTGAAATTCTTCTTGAAGGGGGCAGGGGTGAATCGATTCCGGCTGCTGTGATCCCTCCTGAGGGCACAGCCAAAAGGTGAAGAGGAAGCGAACTCTACCTGAGAAGAAGCCATATTTTCCAATAAAAATTCAGACCCATTTGGTGTAAATGGGTGGAGAAGAAGAAGAACCCATTTGGAAGAGAGATGGATTTTTGCCGCTAATCAGCCACAAAATCTTCATTCAAACAAGAACAGTAACAACAATCCATTTCTCTCTCTGACTATTTTCTCTCAAATATTCGTGATGTATCTCAACGGTGAAGGAGTTAATTTGTTGATGTTTAATTGTTGGACTCAGAATATTTCAACCGCAAAATTAGCTCAAACATGCTATTTTTATGCCTCATTTTTGCAGAATTCTCAGAGTTTGGTGAAAACTGTGAAGGAGAGAAAAAGGACCGTTAGTACGTAGGCCATATTTTCCCACCCCTACTTTAGCGGTAACGCCAACCTTTGCTTGTATCGTATACACACACATAAATTTTAGCAAAATTTTAATCGAGTATTTAGACTTAAATTTGTCTATGATGGGCTACTAAATTTCAATTTAGGTTTAAATTTCATAATTATGTCACGTTCCATCGTCTATCTTTTTAAATTTAACGGAATTTGATTGTCATATATAATAATTGTTCTTTTGCATTCTAGAAAAAAAAAAAAAAATAATCGTATATGAGAGTTATGATATTACCACTTGATTAAAATGCTATTAAATTTTTCAAACATTTTTATGACATAATGTAGTTGTAAGTTAGCATTACGTGGAATATTATGTGGAAGATCTATTGCATTATGACTAACAATTTGAAAATTTTATCACTTTTGAATGCGACAATGACAGAATGGTGAAATTTTAAATCAAATTGAACTTCAATTGAGACCAATTTAAAGTTAATGACTCAATTGAGATTTCACTGAAAGTCTAGTGACGGCAATGAAGTTTACACCCTCTCTCTATTTTTCAGTTTTTTCATAATGACCTATTTTAATTTACACCGCTTGTGCATTATTGCATCATAAATTGTCAGTTGGAGCATACCAATGTCTTTAATGTTGTACATGTAAATTTATTTTGTTTTAATATTGACCATCATTTTTGCTCATATTTAGGCATAACTAGTCATAATTGAACGTGCATTCCACGTTATTTTGAAATATTTTATAAGTGTTATAAGCGCATTTTTTGAAGATGTGTGAATATAAAAAATAGTTAGTACAAATTGTTTATGCGGAATGTACTTTTTATTCAATAAAAATATATCTATATATGAAATAATCACAAAATTTACCTCCACGATGATGATGATGTGTGGGGTGTTCCGGTTGCTCAAATCAATGAATGCTACCTGCAAAATGAGGTCGGAGCTTTGTCCCCCGTTGTACCTCCGGCGTCAGAATCAATAGTCGATTTTAGGGAGTAAACAGAGAGTATATGAACATTCAATAAGTTCGAGTTCTCAGAAGAAAAAATACCTTTCCCCACATTGGGGTATTTATAGGCACTTGATGGCACGTCCCCCTGCTCCACGATTAACTGTGCCACGTGTCCCACCTATGCCTTCCCACTCCCCCACGTTCTATAGCATTGACCCCCACTTGTATTGCGGTTGGTCATGGTCACGTTTGCTGTTGGGTGATTTTCGTTTATCTCACGGCCATTTGTTTGGTTAAGTATAGTGGGGGTCGACGTCGTAGGCCTCATAGTGGTAGACGGCCCCCGAGGGGTAGACGTCTTGGAGGGGCGTGCGTTGAGTAGCGACCATCGAGCCTTATAGTGGTAGACGGCCCCTGTGAGCGTAGAGGACCCCCGGGGGGTCGACGTCTTGGGGGGGCGTGCGCTAAGTAATGACCATCGAGGAAAATTGTTAATACCGTCTTATATCACTAACCCCTCTGCCTCTTGTCGATATTTATCGGTGAGAAGTAGCACTCTCTGGCGCTGACCGAAAGTTTAGGGTTCAAACCGATTGGAAATGGAAAAGCGAAAATATAGTTAAAACTTCAACTGCCCAGCAGAAGGCCTTTAAGTGCGAATTTGAGGCTGGAAACAACCTCAACTGGGATTGGGATGTTATAGAGCACTGAGAGACGTTTTTGAAAACATATTATAATAGAAAATCTGACAATGGTGCAAAAAGTTATGACCGTTTCCTTGTAGCAACATTTTTGGGTAGTTTTCGGTTTATCTTTTCCTTTAATTCCAATGTCAATCGTTCGTGTGGCTTCCTCATCCGATGAAAGCGAAGGCGAGGAGGTGAGGGGGTCGGCCGATGGTGAACCGGCACCGACCAGCCTTGCTGGTCGGTCATCAACGACCAGCAAGGCTGGTCGACGGTCGACCAGCAACGTTGCTAGTCGACACTCGACCAGCACAGCTGGTCGACTCACGGCTGGCCGAAGGTCGACCAGCCCCTCGTCTGGCCGGGGGTCGATTTTTGTCGAAAATTTTCCTTGCGAGGTCGGCCAAGTCCTTTCCTAGTCAAACACTTCAATATATTCGGTTGAATTTCAAGATTTCGAACCGATCTCCCCAAAACGTCATGTTGGGTCCACTAAATCTTTAAATCAAAACGTAGAGATTGGGCGAGATGCCGCGGGTGAGGAGGTGGTTCTTGAGATCCCCAAGTACCATAGCTTATACAACTCCCCATCAAAGTTAGAAAAGTCACTTAAGAAGTATGAGCGGGTAGACGATTACATCTGTAGAGGCCCTAGGCCCGATGAAACACTTCTTGGAACCGGCCCCCGCGAAGTTGCCGTTTATAAAGACATCATGGACGGTGGTTTTCACTTTCCCATACATCTTTTCTTTGTATCGTTATTCAATGAGTTCCACCTTACTCCTAGCCAAATAAATCCCAATGCTTGGAGAAAAGCGCTTTATTTCCTATATGTTTGTCTTAGCAAGAAAATTCCGCTTTCAATGGATCTTTTCAAGTGTGTTTTCGAGATGCACGAGTTAGCCCAAAGCAATGCCTTTGTTTATTTCACCACCAGGGTCCCGTTGCTCTTCTCTAAATTTAGGAATTCCAACAGCGGGTGGAAATCCCGATTTTTCTTCCCGCGCCCTCACGAGGGCCAATTTCCGTTTAACACCTATTGGAGGCATCCCCTAATTCGTCTTTTCAATAGCGAAGTCGAGATCACCCCTGTTTTGAAAACACAAATCCAAAGGCTGACCAAAATTCTACCCCTTGCGCCTGATCTGGGGTCGATTCTGACCATGAGGAACATGTTGCTGGTTGGGATCGGTCGTCCTGTTGGTAGGTTTTCATACTCTGCTTACAAGCACTATTTTTTTAGAGTATTTTTTTCGTGTTGTTTTCTATTAGTCGAGCTGGACTGACTTGGTTGCTTGTGCCTAGATATGGATCTTGACTTGGACGAGGTATTGAGGTCTTTGCCTGAGCCAGGGAGTGATGAGGGGTTTGCCCCTATTGATGGTAAGATTTTTACATGTCCTATTTTCCTTCTTCTTTGTTGCACTTCTTGACATGTTAATTTGAAAGCTTGATAGTCTTTTCGTTGTTGACATAGGCATGGACTTCAACTTAGGAGCGACCATGGACTCCTTGGTGGGGTGCGGTCATGAGAGTGACGATGATCCACTGCCGGCCCTGTTGAAGAGAAAGAAGGCCTGCGATGGGAGAGACAGCAGCCTATAGATGAAGATGGTACTCAACTTTCAGACGACCCCTTCGAGGTAGTCCCACCGCCCGTGGACGTAGGGGGCAGCCTAAGTCATGTCGCGTTCGAGCGTGAGGGTTCTCTTTTACCAGATTTCAAATTTCTTCCTTCTTGAGGCTATTCGGAGATGAGGGCGGTTAAATCTTTGGTTGCGCCCAGGCGTGTTCAGTCGATCGCTTGTCGGAGTGCCGATGACATCGAACGGGTTCTGTCGGTTCACACCCAGAGGATACGTTTACATTTTTTTTGGCTCTAATTGTATGATCTCTTGTTTGGTTCAGGCAGTGGCTCTTCAGGTTGGGCTCGCCGAGTCCAGCCGTCGTTTAGCGTCGGAGTTGAAGATCTTTGCGGAAGAGAAAGAGAGGGAGGCTCACCGTTACAAGAAGAAACTCTCTTCCTTCAGGAAGTCGATCGAGGATTTGGAGTCTNGGAGTCTCGTTCTATGGAGCAAGAGTCTGAGATAAACAATTTGCGCTCTGCTTTGGCTCGGGCTCCTGAGGAGGCAGTGGCGAGATACAAGGCTTCTGCAGAGTATGCTAAGGATTTGGAGACCTCGATAGAGCGATACAAGTCATCTACTGATTTTGCTAAGGCTCTGAACTCTTATGGGGGGAAGGTGATGGCAGCGTCCATCAAGTTGACTAAGGAGTGGATATTTGCTGAGCATCCTTCCATCGAATCCTACAGGCTTTGATAAGTTTTTTGGCAAAGCGCAAGGGAAAGGAGGGCGGAGCCCCCCAGCTCAAGACATTTGGGCATACATCACGAGGCGGGAGTGAGGAGACTTTTCGCTCGACCCCAACCGAACTTTAGTTGCGGGCCTTTGAGCACTTTCCATTATGTTTTTGTCATCTAGTTATTTTGTGCATTCTTCCGGTCCGGGATGTGGACACTTTTAGTTATTTTGCACGTTTCCTGGTTCGGGATGTGGACTGATGTATTTGTTATATTCCAAGTATAAGAACTTGATCATTGATCGGCATTTTGGTTTTGCCCTCTTCTCCTTATGTATGTATATGATCATTTATGCTAATTGCTGCGCGGTGAGAGGTGTTGATTGACGGGCTAGGTGATTTTGAGCCTTAGCAATTTTAGGCTTTGAAAACTCACCTCGAGCTCCTAGTGATCTTGAGCTAGTCAATTTTTAACTTTTTTGCTCACCGCTATGTGTCAAGTTATCTTGGATCGTCGAGGTCGGGGTTGGGTGATTTTGGGCTTTAATCATTTTAGGTTTTGGAAACTCACCACCAGCCCCTAGCGATTTTGAGTTAGTCAATTTTCGACTTTTTTGCTCACCGCTATGTGTCGAGTCAGCGATTTTAAGCTAGTCAATTTTTGACTTTTTCGCTCACCGCTATGTGTTGATCAGCGATTTGGAACTAGTC